CTTAATCTACAAAAGTTATATCAAAATTAAGAAATTCCCTATCATTTTTGTACGTTATTTATGGCTTATTTTAGTTCAATTATATGAATATTAATTATAAATAAATTTAAGTTAAATAAATAATTACATTTTTAATTTACAATTTTTGGAAATTTATACATTGAAATTGAATTTGGTCCTTTATTATTAAATAATATAAATTGTAATTTTTAAAAAATGTCTATTATTAAATTATTGGTAATAATTAAAAATTTACAATAATTTTTTTCAACATGGTCATTATATGGCCTATAATTGTATCAANATTATAAATAAATTTAAGTTAAATAAATAATTACATTTTTAATTTACAATTTTTGGAAATTTATACATTGAAATTAAATTTGGTCCTTTATTATTAAATAATATAAATTGTAATTTTTAAAAAATGTCTATTATTAAATTATTGGTAATAATTAAAAATTTACAATAATTTTTTTCAACATGGTCATTATATGGCCTATAATTGTATCAAGTCAGAAATTTGATTGAATCAACCATTTTGGTTAAATAAATTTGTAACCAGTAAAGATCATATTGGAATCGAGTGTATGTTGTTGTGCTCCCCGTTGTCTATACGTCTTGTAAACCAGCCATAAATAGCCAAATGATATTATGAAACACGTATTTCTCAATCAATACAAAACAACAATCTTAAGTTTAATGTTATAAATTACTGCAATATAACTCACAATATAATCACAGTTACAGGAATGCAAAGCCATACCGACCGCCACTCTCCGGGACATGTGATTCACTCTCAGGGAAACACTCGCTTCAAATAGGAATCAAATTATACACACAATTGCACTAAAAATTCAAATTAAAAATTAAAACATTTTTATATAAGAGTGTATAACAAATGCCTCAATCTTTGTATGAAATTGTGTGCAATAATGCGGACGATTGTTGTGCTCGAAGAATATGTGATATCCAGCGATTGCACCGCTCGTAATGGAGTCGACCAAACCATCGATCGTCTCAACAATCAATGAATCCATGGATTCGAGAAATAGTGGATCCGTTGCTTTCATTCCCACTTTTTCTTTACATTCTTTGGTGTCGTTTTCGAGTCTACTCTTTAAGATTAAAAGTATATTAAGACATACCAGTAATCTCTGATAAACGCCGATTCAGACAATAATAACATTTTTTCAAAAATCTGTTCATTATTTTTAATTAACAATTAACACAATTTTGTAGTAAATTTTGATCAGGTTGAAACGATAAACCGATAACGATTTTGAAACGATCGTATGCATCATAATATGAAGTATACTGTATATTAATATAATTTATTAGCATATCTTCATTAAATAGTCTTTTATTTAAACATCACTATTATATAATTACCTTGAAATAATTAAGGAAAAACATTTCAAGGTAATTATATAATAGTGATGTTTAAATAAAAGGCTATTTAATGAAGATATGCTAATATATTAACATACAGTATACTTTACACCTAATGTATGACCACAGGCTTATATAATAATTATGTTAATAATAAGTGATGTAGTATAAGGAAAGTTATTAATAATCTGTGATTATACAGTATTTTAGATCCTAAAGTACTCTTTCTTAATCTATAATAAACTTTTCCAGGATTTGTGCCAACGATAACAACAATCACTTATTGTCATTAATACCTATTAATTAATAATCATTTTTATATCAATTATTGCTCAATTAATAAATAGTTTTCTCAGAGTATTTAAACACATGTATTGAAAACAAATATACAATTTTATTTGTACAATAAAAGTGCAATAAAATACTCATCGAGTCATACAATGCTGTCCCTAATAGTGGTAACCGCACTAATACTGGGCGTCAGTGCCCAAAACCATCCGTGGGATCCGCAGCCCCGGGACGCCGGTTGGCTCCAACATCACGAGCGTTTCGTTAATCAAACACTGGCTCATATGAAAGAGGAACAGATCGTGTTTGTGGGCGACTCCATCACTGAGGGCTGGGGCGGCAATGGAAAGGCTGTTTGGGCCAAATACTACACACCCAGACATACCTTCAACTATGGCATCGGCGGTGATAGGACTGAGCACGTAATCTATCGGATCCAACACAAAGAGTTTGACGGTCTAAAGCCGAAGGTCACTATTCTTATGATTGGTAAGTGTGTGGACAACATATAATAATTATAATTTATAATAAACTAAAGTAGAATATACTAAAATAATCATGATTCATGATTCAACCCATAATAGGCACGAATAACGCGGCGTCCAATACTGTTGAAGACATCGCCCACGGAGTGGAGGAGACAGTGAAGGAACTGTTGGTTAAAATGCCCGAAACAAAGCTTATACTGTTGGGAGTGTTTCCCAGAGCCGAGCCATTGGGCGCTAAAGTGAAACAAGTGAATACAATAATCAAGAAATTGAATAACGATAAGAATGTATTCTGGCTGGACATGTGGTCAGCCTATGAGAGCGCTGACGGGCACCAAAAGACTGAGCTCTATGTGTCCGACAAACTGCACCTCAACGAGAAAGGGTATGAGGTTTGGCAGCAAACTATGGAACCCCTGCTTAAGAAGTTGCTCAATTAATAATGAATTTACATTAATAATATTTTATGACACTAACTTTTATTATGTAAACTAGAGTTTGCGAATAAATAAATAAATAAATATAATTGATTAAAATATAAACTGGAAAATTTTTGTTGAAATTCATTTGATTGAATATTTACTGTAATTATGATATTTATTCATACTATCAGTTTGAGTTAGCAATTATTAAAAACAATACAAATCAAATGTGAAATCAGTGCTGAAATAACAATTGTTTTACAAAACAATTATCCAGTTTTTATGTGAATTTAACATTTGTTGCGGATTTGGATTTGATTTAAACTTAACTATTATTTGTGTTGCAAATTAAAAGCACTGATTAATTGAATTCAAGGCTATATACCAAACATATCATATAAATTATAAGATTTATCTCGAGTGTACTGTTCTGCAACATTCTTTGGGCCATGGTGATAGTACTTATCAATATTTAGACTTAACATATTATTTAAAATCAAAGTACAAGTATTAATTAATGAACGAGTTAAAACAAACACAACACACAATGATAGCGAGAGTGTCGTTAATCCTATACCTAATTATTGGCCAGTTATGGGTGGCCGCGGGGCACCCGTGGGAACCCGAGGGGCGCACCGATGAACCCGGTTGGGTGACAAAACACCAGAGGTTAGTGAACCAGACCCGGGACCACATGAATGACGAGGTGATTGTGTTTGTGGGCGACTCTATAACCCATAATTGGGCCAATCTTGGAGGCACTGTATGGGACAAACACTACCGGCGCCGACACGCCTACAATTACGGTGTGGGCGGCGATCGCACCGAAAACGTGTTGTACAGAATCGCTAACAACGAGTTTGACGGACTCGACCCTAAAATGATTGTCCTTATGATAGGTTTAGTATTGGCTTTTAATGCTTATGTTTACTCAATATTCATGTATTGTATAAATAATTGTTTGTTTCAATTCAAAAACTAAAGGCACAAATAATATTAAATTTAATAACACTGCTGAAGATATTACACGTGGTGTGCGGGAAGTGATCAAACAATTGTTTGCCAAAATGAGCAAGTCTAAAATGATTTTGTTGGGTGTGTTGCCCAGGGATGAACCGTTGGGTGACAAATGCAAACAACTTAATACCTTGATTAAAACGTTGGCAAATGAGACAAATGTCCACTTTTTGGACATGTGGTCAGCATTTGAGAGTCCGGACGGACGACAGAAAACTGAACTATACGTCGCCGATAGAGTCCATCTTAATGTAAAGGGTTATGAAGTATGGCAACAGACTATGCAACCATTGCTCAACAAACTAGACCCAAATCCCTATATTATACAATCAGAGACTGAAAAAAATAGTGCGTGTAGTGCGAACTGCCACAGCTTTGTCTTTGCATTTCTCTCTCTCACACTCATATTAATACATTATAAGATAGGGTTGAGTACATGTATGTAATCTATGTCTGATAATTGTTTGGAAATACAAATTTGTTTCAATAGATACACATACTTTTTAACTACAATTAAAGCAAAAGTTAAACAACAGATAAAAACAATATATATTGTATATTGTAATTCAGAAGACCTTTTGTTCAATAAATAATTGTTTTAAATGATAGTAATTCTTGTAATTCAGTTCAGCGAATATCTAAAAAAACAGATTAACAATTAAATTATAGACTTAAACAAAAGTAATCACTCAATACATACCATCGATCCCTTCTTATCAAAGGGCTGGTCTTCGCCGGAGAAGTGTTTATCCGATTTAATAGCCATTATAATGAAGAACATGTTTGAGACCAACGAAAACACCTTCACTTCTCTCAGGATATTATCAAATGAATTGCATTTGCGGTCAGAAAAGGCCGAACCCATGGCTTTCGTCGACTCGTCGATATAGGAGCGGATGAACGGCGCGATTGTCTGGTCGTCGGGAAAGTTGTGCAAAATATGGGGCTCTGACCACAGCTTACCGTTNTATAGGAGCGGATGAACGGCGCGATTGTCTGGTCGTCGGGAAAGTTGTGCAAAATATGGGGCTCTGACCACAGCTTACCGTTCCATTCGGCAAATATGGTGCCAAAGTCTGCCCCGCGATAGCCATAACCCGAGTACTCGAAGTCGCAAAACACGAGCTCGTCGTCCGGTTCGCACACCATTATGTTTGAGCCCCGGAAGTCGATGTGCGTGAATGTGATCGGGCTATCGGTGCCCAGTATAGCACTCTTGAGCCACTCCAGCTCTGTCTTGAGATCGTGTCTCTTCAATGTCTCGCAATGGCATTCGTCGATCAATGCCTTCAAAGCAAACCTATCGGTCGACTCTTTGTAATACCTGTCAAACGAGTCAAATATCCAGTTCCCCACCCGTTTCAGGGGTACGTCCAGCGCGTGAACTCTGGCCAACTTTCGGGCCAATTGGTCCACCAGTTGAGCGTTTTTCTGCTCTTCGCCGCGAAAACTTCTGTGCTATTTATTATCAAAAATAACAAATATAAAAATTTATATAGATAATTGTGAGTTTAAAAAACACACATGATGACATAAACAGTAACATTAAATTAATTATCTAGATCAATTAATTACTTTATAATATTTCTGGATCTGTCCGCCATCGAAGATACCATAAAGTTTTGGTCCCAAAGTGCCCGACACCAGGAGAGCGATTACTACATCCGTGAGCCTCTCATTGCCGTCATTATCATCATTATTGAAATGTTTGGCGCCGTATAACCTGATGGCCACCTCTCGGGGCACATCTCCACTATGATCGGCCGCTGGAGTCTTATCGGTGGCGCAATAGTAGAGCTGATTAGTGAGTCCACCGCTAATACGGTTGACAACAATCTCGTTGAGTGAGACCCGGAGCCAAATGTCTCCGATATACTCGCGACACAGAGTCAGACAGCGCTCCCGGATATCGTCGGGTGTTTGGCCTCTCAACCAATTTTTTTGATCACTTAATTCCCATTCAGGCATTGATTTAACGCCACTTTTCTCCGACATTATCTATGGATAGTGTGTTTTCATATAAAAATTTTAACCTTATGTTTTTAACATTTAACTCAATTAATGTTGTTAATATACAAATGTTGGTCTTATTTATTAAGTTTATTTTATGTTATACAGTAAATGCATTAATGATATGTGTTTACAGATATACAGTAGACATAACCTTAACCTTAACCCACGATTATTATCAATAAATAGCATTGAATTTCGAGAGAAATGAACGATTTAAACGATTCTTATAAATAAATGTTTTCATTATAAGTTTTATTGTAGACTAAATGACACTTGTTTTAAATATAAGTCAGACATTTGTGCTATTATGTCAATCTATTATATTACACAATTTCAATGAAATTAACTGTTATCTAAATTATATAATTAGTAGCAATTATTTCATTTACAATATGGACTTGTTGTCACATACTGTATAAAAATTGAACTTGCTTATTTATACAGCAATTGTTATTGTAATAAATTATTAGTTATAGCAAGTGTTTCTAATATTGTTTACTAACCTTTCACGGTTTAGTGCGGTATTGTTTTTAGTTGAAAAATTAAGAATAAACTTATTGACTAATTTCACCAAAATTAAATATATTAATATTTTAAAAATTGCAATATTTAGATCAAATTAGCTATTTTTCTTTAATTAAATGTTAGATGTTATAAAAATAAAGCAGTATTTTATTCATTGATAACATTTTTCTAATATAAAAGTTATTTCTTATAAAATAATAACAATAAATGAATAAAATATTTAACAATTATAACAAACATAATGTATATTGATATCATTAGTGAATGTATTAATTGTATTGCAATTTGAGATTTATACACAAAAATAATATATATTTTATATAAATATATCACATTATTATCACTAATTTATTGATACGTCGGTAACGTTTAGCGCATCCGTACTGTTATGTTGAGACCGGTTTCGGCTATAAAAACAACAAATCAATACATTTAATCACTATTTACAATACAAAACGGGTTAAACATTTCATTACGATAGTATCCGTCGTCTTCTCACTTGGTATGCAATCAGCGATAGAGTGATCACAAAAACTACAGCCAAACTTCCAATTATATAATAGCCATAATTATCTAACCAAGTTCTGTCTTTCCCCGCTTTGATACAAAATGATTAATTATTTACTAATTACAAATAGTTACTAGTTGCAAAAATAATTAAAATAAATTTATCTAGTTTACTTGAAGTTGCGATACAATCCCCTGCCTGTGCCTTATAGTTGGGCTGACACAGGCAAACACTATCCCTGCAAAAGTGATTCGCTGGACAATCGCCCTGAATATAGCGCTCATTAAATCCCAACACCGATGAATCGCACTTCACGTACGGCTG